TTATACTATGTCACATGATATCTCATCCGCACTACACTTAGAACTATTAAAAATATATTAGAATAGAATAACTTTTACATGTACCTCTTATACAAAGTCTTTTTTTTACAATAAACTAATTTAGCTGTCTCGACACTAGTGAGAAGTCTTATATTTTTACAGCACAAGCTGCAGAGCTTAGTCTGTTTGCTAGTTTTGATATATGGAGGATCCTATAGAATCCTGCGTCGAGAGTGATGCCAAAAAAAATTGATTCAACAGGGCTCAGTCCTTACCCATTGAAAACACATTAAAACCCCAAAAACCTACGGTGGCCACCATCAGCGTATGCGAGGTGTCTCGGAATCTCCGTTTGAAATGTAACCACGGTCCTTCTCTTGCTTTGGTTTGTTGAAAGCATGCAATACTGCAATACAGGCAATACTTACTGCCCCCAGCGTTCTCGCAGTATTATCAAGGTGTCTCGATACCACTACCGGATCCCTGCCCAGCATCACCGACATGATTGCTGGCAGTGTAGGTTATGCATACCGCGAGCATATGGGATGTGGAGTCTTGTTCCTGCCCACTACAGTCAAACAGTTCGCCGTCGGTTAGCACCAAACCATCCATGCTTGGTAATTATCTGTGTAAGCCTGTAGATGAGCCTTCCTGCTCGTCGATGCATCCAAGTTCCGGAGTGTAATAGGATTGCTTTAACAATGCGCTTGCGTGCAATGTGCCTTTTTATAGGATATGGGTGATAAACGATTATAGACATCTACATCAATACTCTTGCCATCCCTGAGGACTAGGATGGAATGCCTTGTTTTCGGTAAAAAGTGTTAAATAGTAGCTCAATGCTGGTGTGTTTCGTATGATGAGCGTAGAGAGCCAGATACACTTTTTACAGGGAATAAAGCATTTCATCTTAGTCCTCAGGGATTAAAAAGTACCTCTATTTTGATTTTTAGTCGAGGATATAATATGCAGATGTCGACAGGTCCTAGAGTCCACTTACCAATAGATGAACTGTTTATTCGTTTGTCACACTTATTCTTTTAAAAATAGTAATTTTGTCTCGTGTTACTCGCGTAGTTATTTTATTCACAATAGAATTTACAACCATTAATCGTAAATTCTATTCCGAATTTAAATTGTGAGTAGACAAAACATTCTATCCTCGCCCAGTGATTGATTAAAGAGATTAAGCGTAGAAAAACGATCAGAGTCTTTAGTCTCGATGATTAGGAGTAGATCTGAATGGTAAGTCATTTAACTTACCTCTTTATATTAGCTCCATGAAAGATATAACGGCAGGCTCTTTCTTACCAGAAACCCTGTTAGAAATGAGGGGTGAACATTTTCCAGGCAATGAAACTACTTTATTACTATGTACTTTGCTTCTTTATTGTGGTATATATAGAGTATTTTTATTTATTTATTAGTTTTTTATATATACTTCCATGAGTAGTTCGTGTAGTACATATGGCGGACTTAATTCTATAGAGCATTCTCTTATAATAAACAATAAACTGAACGAAGATGGACATATAAGAGGCAGTGGAGATTATTTTTATTGCTAATAGTGTATTTATAATGCCAATTTTAACCTATAATAGACCAAAGAATTCTCTCCACCTATTAGTAAATGCTAAAGTGGCGTAAGATGATAAAGGTTCACTTTGACAATATCTACTAGCCTTGTTGTAATTGGATCTACATCATTAATATCATCATCATTACAGCCGTTCACAAGTCCACTGCTGAACATAGGCCGTCCCCAAGGAATGCCACAAAGCACGATCCAGAGCCACCCGCATCCATCGACTTCCTGCATTTTTTACCAGGTCGTAACTCCATATAGTGGGGGGCCGCCGCACACTTCACTTCCGGTAAGCGTGCGGGGCTACCACTCGACAATCTTTCTTCCCTATCAGTTGTCGATTCTTCGAGCTACATGGCCGATTCACTGCCACTTCTCCTTATTAATCCGTTGGGCTATGAAAATGTTGGATGAAAAATAGAAATATTCACCTTTTGCGGAACGCATTATGAATGAAAAATAAAGTAATTATTTTCGTGACATTACATTCATAGTTAATTGAATAAATACCAGCGGAACTAAGAAGAATTAGAATTAACTTTAGACACGATGTACTCTTTTCCATATGTTCAGTACGGAATAACTAGAACTTATTCATGTGTTGTTCATTTTTGTCTTAATTTCAACGCTGTTGTACATCGTTATGTTCGTGCTATCCACGCTTTTCCCGTTTAACTTCGTGATTGATCTTGATTTAGTAGATTAGAATCTTGTGTAGTTTTTGTAAATATTGCAAAGAAACTTTAAGATATTCCCGTTTTTCATTGTTATTTCGCATACAAAATGTTACTAAAACGCAATTATAACAGTGCTATATGTGTTACAAAAAAGCAAATTAAATGAACTGTAATTTAATATGATAACGCGGAATGTGGTTTCGTTTACTGGTTAATAATATCTGCTACATGGAGTAACATATACTTTTTATCTATTTTTCACAAACGAAATTTTATGTAAGCGAACGTATCGTCTGACATACACTACGCCAAATATTTGACTACTATAAAATTGTATATGCCTACTGTACATGATGTCTTGTTAATAGTTGTTCAAACGAAATGTGACGAGAAATGAGATCAAGCCCTATGTGAACAGTCAAAATAATTTTAGTAAAACTGTTACACTTTTCTAGATTTTTGATTTTCATGACTTTATCGAAAATGATCACCTTAGTACGTATAATTTATGCCATTCTATTGAAATAGCGAAAACATATTTTTTATTGAATATTATTTCCAAATAGATGTAAAACTGCATGTTTATTGCAGTTTGCCAACAACATGAACAGTTTCTTTAGAAAAATATATTAAAGTTGGAATATTTCTACGAGACTAGACAATTCATACAAGTTTAAGATACAGTTAAAAAAGTACTACATCCTTCATGCCTATTGGTTTGAAAAATAATGAAATGAATGAAGATTTCAAAATAATTTTTAAAAAAAAAACAACTTTTAAGAAAACAAAAAAGTTATTGCTATTTCATTAATCAATTATATTTTCAAAGAAGATTGTGGCCAAAATGAGAGAGGTAGAACTAAAACTAATAACAAAACAGATTTACAAGTTAATAAATTTTTAAAAACACTTATGCTGCGACGAATAAGGCTATAAAAAGAAGTATTATTATTATTCATATATTTTTCATAACAGATCTTCAAAATTTCCAACCTCTAACCTGATACATTCCCAACACCTTCTAATAAAATAACGTTTGATTCGTTGGTTTGAATTCGCCCACGCAGTTCTTCAATATAAGCAATCGGCTTCTTGTACACAATCTCCTTCAGACATCCCCAGTAAAAACATCTAAGGGATTCAGACCGAGAGACCGCGGAGGCCACAACATAGGTCCTAGGCGTCCAATTCACCTTCATTGGTAATTTTCGTTTAAAAAGTTTCTCACTCGCAAAGCGTAATGCGCAACACATCATTTAGCAACCACATTCTTCTGCGTGTTTCTAATACAGTTTATTAAAAATTGAAATTATTTTATTAGAAACTTGTTTACAAATAATACAAAAAGTAAAATTCGGCTTCAAATAATTGAAAATAATAAAGTGGTTTTTCATTCTGAAGCTAGTGATATTGCATTGTATTAAAGCCCCGACTTCACAATGTAAAATTATTTTATTCTTTATTTTTGCTTAAAATCGGTTTTTACTTTTTATTGAATGTTATTTTGATACCATTTTTGTTGAACTAAGGAATATCACGATCTCAGTATCGTTTAAATAGTGGCATTAAAAACATCGTTCCCTATTTGGCCAATCTTTGGGGGTTGAATTTTTTCTCCAAACTTACACGGGATTTTCCTATAGTATAACATATTTAATAAAAAAATTGGTTGACCCTGCAGGCCATCCCTGGAACTGTACGCTAATTTCAAATGCAAAGCGCTCCAAATTTCACCAAATTATATTGCGAAATCTCGAAGTTATGTTAAAAAAAAAAACTTTTTTTAGAATTCTTTCTCCTTTGATATCTCACTAAACTAACATTAATAATAATGACCTCCAGACCGAATTTCGGCCACGCTGGCCTGCCGCAACGGAGGCTAGCCAGTGTGTATTCCCTCACTCTCATAATCCGATAGGACGGTAAACCGACACGACCGGAGAGAGATCAGGTGCAGGACCAATGGCTTTACCTGCTTCCCAAGGCACGGGGGTGAGACACCGCCAAATTCCTGACTCCGGGCAGCTACTAAGAATTTCTTGACGAAAAACTCAATAATTGATTTTGTTTGCCCGACCTGGGATTCTAACCCAGGACCTCATGATCAGCAGTCGCACCACTACAACCACTAGACCGACGGGGCAGTCGGTTTATTTAAATTATACATAACAGCAATAACTATTACAATAACGATTCAAAAACAAATATCCTGTATATAAGATCCATGGGCGGTGCATCCTGCAATAGCAGGTCATGCACTTAACAAATACTACAAAAATAATTATGTGTAATTTGTTAATTCACCCTCATATTTTTGTTATTGTCGGCGATACCAGTATACGGTAAATTTTCTTTAAACTTATGACTGTACCATAGTTTAATGTTTAATTAATTAATGTTTTGATTTTTATTTAGGGCAAACAAATGAAATTAATAATAAAAAAATATATCTTCCCCCTAAATCCCACAACTTTTACTTTAAGACATTTATAAAACTATTTTCTTTTTTAGTTAAAATATGCTTTTTTTTAATTTTAAAAGTACTTTTTCGAGAATATGTCAATAGGTCCCCGAATACATTGCTGTATTAAATGTGAATTACATTATTTTGTATATTTATAATGAAAATAATTTATTATCACTATCCTAAAAATGAAATTCGGAAATATTTTTATTTTTTTATTATTATACAACCAGGTACTTAAAATAATTTATTTTCGACAAAATGTTAGATAATATCAATGATGATGTTGAACGGGAACAGCATGGGTAGCATGACCCTCACGATGTACAACAGCGTTGAATCTGAAACAAAAAAACGTAAAACATATTCCATTATTTTATTCAGTATTATATGAAGACACGTGAAATCAGTCAATCAGAATAAGCAGTGCAGCGGAAACTTCCCTGACCTAAAACCCTCTCAGATGTGAGAGCAAGCTTTGCCCGGCTGCAAGAATCATATAGCTGCATTTTTGCTTTCATTTTTATAATCTACAGAGGGCAAGTTATAACTAATAGTAGCCGACTATTTAACTCTAAGAAAAGACAACCGATAATATAACGCAAATCTATAATTTGATATCTATATACGAGATTGTTCGAGATTTTTTGTATAGTACCAAGAACACGACGTTTCTTTACTGGCTACAATAAGCCTTCGCACGAGTAAAGAACTAGCCTGCTCGTCTCCAGCTGCGACGACCAGTGGTGATACTCTTTTTTTTTTAGTAACTTTACCACGCTAGAACCCCTTGGACCAAAAGTCTCTACAGCAAATGATACTTTGTAGTCATCTCTCAGAGACTCATATTTGCATCATTTACTCAGTTTGTCGTTCCTCTAAACGAGGAGATGAGGTGCTGCAAAAGCGTCCACGTACGTGGCATCCTTTACTAAAGCTTCAAATTAGGTGACTAAAGTCATATCGTCCGCTCTCTTGCCATTATATATAAGTATTCTACAAGGCTATTAATAATGTTAGAAGAAATTATTTATTCAAAAATTAAAAAAAAAAACGCTTACCCATTATGACCATCAGCGGTATATTCAACAGTTCTTATAGTGCCATCAGACTCGTGCAAGCTGTAGGATCCGTGCACAGCATCACCCTCTCGGCTCTCGTGCTGGGACTTGATGTCACCCGTGTGCGAGTCGGCTACAGAGTACTCAAACGAATAGTGTGGGGGCGCCTGGAATTTATAAATTTATTTTAACATACGAGTATCATTTGTTTGAAAAACAAAATTTATGTAGCGGGAACATAATATACGTTTCTGATAATTTATTCAACCGACTCCGAAATTGAAAATTGTGGGTTTTAATCTGCCATTTGATAATGTAGTGATTAATAGGAGTATGAACAATTTACGTTAATTTGTGACATTTTTAGTATACCTCTAAAAATTAATTATCTTACATAGTAGTCCTGGTGATGGTCGTTGTGTTCTGCATAATGTGCGGGCTGGTGGTGCAAGACCACAGCGGGCGCTCTGTGAGCAGTTTGGCCGTGGCTCTGATGCAGTACTATGTTCTGAGACGACTGCGCGTGGCCATGTCCATGTCCATAGCCATTATTGTATTGTCCGACAGCTACGGATAGAACAGCAGCAGCGAGAAAAAATCTGTGGAAAAGAAGTTGTAGGCATATCGTATTGCATATATTTTAAAATAACCATATTAAGCAATTTTTTAACTCATCGTTAGATAAGAAATGATAACTTATTCAGTAAGCTTGTGAGAAGCTTATATACAATGGTTTGTATTCATCGGTGTGATAATAATACATTTTTTTTAATTTTAAATTAAATTATAAATTTTGTCATATAACCCTTTTACCTTTTTAAACATTTTAGCTGTTAATTATTACAATGTTAAATAAATACTGATAATGTATATGAGTTATTGTACCTTTTATATATTCGTACGTTGTAAGGCAGTATAATCGTAATTATGCAAACATTTCACGACATCTGAAATAAGACTATTACACAATGAATCCCTTAATTGGAATCGACCTTAAACTACTTCACATAAAAAAGTTTCTTAAGTAATTTGACTACTCTGAAAATACTTTGATACATTGTTGAACCTTTTGTATTTTAGAATTACGAAGCATATCTTAATATATATAAATTGCGTGTCACGCTGTTTGTCCGCTATGGACTCCTAAACTACTTCCGATCTTAATCCACCGTGTGACCAATTTGCTATCATCCACCGTGTGCATTTTGGTCCAACTTGAGAGATAGAATAGTTTTTTCGCCCACAATTTTTTTTTAATTTAAGTATGTTTAATAGGACATGACTAATTATCGTTGAAAAGGGCAGAACAACGTCTGACTGGCAAGCTAGTTAGATATAAAAAAAAGTGACGTAAGGTCAAGAAATACGGCGTTTGTAAAGATATTTTAATATATTTTTCGGCTTAAGGTTAAAAACTTATAATAAATGTTATATTAGAATTAATTAAATGTTTTAAAATTGTAAATCACATTTTCTTACTTAAAATAATAAAGGAAATGTAAATAAATGGGTGCATGAAATGAAAATGGCAATTATCTGATACAGTTTTGTGTAAAACGCATTTAATTTATTGGTTTTCACAGTTGTTATCAAAATATCTCTCGTCCTTAGACTACTTCACATGATATCTCATCCGCACTACACTTAGAACTATTAAAAATATATTAGAATAGAATAACTTTTACATGTAACTCTTATAGAAAGTCTTTTTTTTACAATAAACTAATTTAGCTGTCTCGACACTAGTGAGAAGTCTTATATTTTTACAGCACAAGCTGCAGAGCTTAGTCTGTTTGCTAGTTTTGATATATGGAGGATCCTATAGAATCCTGCGTCGAGAGTGATGCCAAAAAAAAAATTGGATTCAACAGGGCTCAGTCCTTACCCATTGAAAACACATAAAAACCCCAAAAACCTACGGTGGCCACCATCAGCGTATGCGAGGTGTCTCGGAATCTCCGTTTGAAATGTAACCACGGTCCTTCTCTTGCTTTGGTTTGTTGAAAGCATGCAATACTGCAATACAGGCAATACTTACTGTCCCCAGCGTTCTCGCAGTATTACCAAGGTGTCTCGATACCACTACCGGATCCCTGCCCAGCATCACCGACATGATTGCTGGCAGTGTAGGTTATGCATACCGCGAGCATATGGGATGTGGAGTCTTGTTCCTGCCCACTACAGTCAAACAGTTCGCCGTCGGTTAGCACCAAACCATCCATGCTTGGTAATTATCTGTGTAAGCCTGTAGATGAGCCTTCCTGCTCGTCGATGCATCCAAGTTCCGGAGTATAATAGGATTGCTTTAACAATGCGCTTGCGTGCAATGTGCCTTTTTATAGGATATGGGTGATAAACGATTATAGACATCTACATCAATACTCTTGCCATCCCTGAGGACTAGGATGGAATGCCTCGTTTTCGGTAAAAAGTGTTAAATAGTAGCTCAATGCTGGTGTGTTTCGTATGATGAGCGTAGAGAGCCAGATACACTTTTTACAGGGAATAAAGCATTTCATCGTAGTCCTCAGGGATTAAAAAAGTACCTGTATTTTGATTTTTAGTCGAGGATATAATACGCAGATGTCGACAGGTCATAGAGTCCACTTACCAATAGATGAACTGTTTATCGTTTGTCACACTTATTCTTTTAAAAATAATAATTTTGTCTCGTGTTATTCGCGTAGTTATTTTATTCACAATAGAATTTACAACCATTAATCGTAAATTCTATTCCGAATTTAAATTGTGAGTAGACAAAACATTCTATTCTCGCCCAGTGATTGATTAAAGAGATTAAGCGTAGAAAAACGATCAGAGTCTTTAGTCTCGATGATTAGGAGTAGATCTGAATGGTAAGTCATTTAACTTACCTCTTTATATTAGCTCCATGAAAGATATAACGGCAGGCTCTTTCTTACCAGAAACCCTGTTAGAAATGAGGGGTGAACATTTTCCAGGCAATGAAACTACTTTATTACTATGTACTTTGCTTCTTTATTGTGGTATATATAGAGTATTTTTATTTATTTATTAGTTTTTTATATATACTTCCATGAGTAGTTCGTGTAGTACATATGGCGGACTTAATTCTATAGAGCATTATCTTATAATAAACCATAAACTGAACGAAGATGGACATATAAGAGGCAGTGGAGATTATTTTTATTGCTAATAGTGTATTTATAATGCCAATTTTAACCTATAATAGACCAAAGGAATTCTCTCCACCTAGTAAATGCTAAAGTGGCGTAAGATGATAAAGGTTCACTTTGACAATATCTACTGGCCTTGTTGTAATTGGATCTACATCATTAATATCATCATCATTACAGCCGTTCACAAGTCCACTGCTGAACATAGGCCTTCCCCAAGGAATGCCACAAAGCACGATCCAGAGCCACCCGCATCCATCGATTTCCTGCATTTTTTACCAGGTCGTAACTCCATATAGTGGGGGCCGCCGCACACTTCACTTCCGGTAAGCGTGCGGGGCTACCACTCGACAATCTTTCTTCCCTATCAGTTGTCGATTCTTCGAGCTACATGGCCGATTCACTGCCACTTCTCCTTATTAATCCGTTGGGCTATGAAAATGTTGGATGAAAAATAGAAATATTCACCTTTTGCGGAACGCATTATGAATGAAAAATAAAGTAATTATTTTCGTGACATTACATTCATAGTTAATTGAATAAATACCAGCGGAACTAAGAAGAATTAGAATTAACTTTAGACACGATGTACTCTTCCATATGTTCAGTACGGAAAACTAGAACTTATTCATGTGTTTTTCATTTTTGTCATAATTTCAACGCTGTTGTACATCGTCATGGTCGTGCTATCGACGCTTTTCCCGTTTAACATCGTGATTGATCTTGATTTAGTAGATTAGAATCTTGTGTAGTTTTTGTAAATATTGCAAAGAAACTTTAAGATATTCCCGTTTTTCATTGTTATTTCGCATACAAAATGTTACTAAAACGTAATTATAACAGTGGTATATGTGTTAAAAAAAGCAAATTAAATGAACTGTAATTTAATATGATAACGCGGAATGTGGTTTCGTTTACTGGTTAATAATATCTGCTACATGGAGTAACATATACTTTTTATCTATTTTTAACAAACGAATGAAGAAAGACACTACGCCAAATATTTGACTACTATAAAATTGTATATGCCTACTGTACATGATGTCTTGTAGTTGTTCAAACGAAATGTGACGAGAAATGAGATCAAGCCCTATGTGAACAGTCAAAATAATTTTATTAAAACTGTTACACTATTCTAGATTTTTTTATTTTCATGACTTTATCGAAATTATATAATATGCCATTCTTAGCACATATTTTTATTTAATATTATTTCCAAATAGATATAAAACTGCATGTTTATTGCAGTTTCCCAACAACATGAACAGTTTCTTTAAAAAAATATATTAAAGTTGGAATATTTCTACGAGACTAGACATTTCATACAAGTTTAAGATACAGTTAAAAAGTACTACATCCTTCATGCCTATTGGTTTGAAAAATAATGAAATGAATGAAGATTTCAAAATAATTAAAAAAAAACAACTTTTAAGAAAACAAAAAAGTTATTGCCATTTCATTCAATTGTGGCCAAAATGAGAGAGGTAGAACTAAAACTAATAACAAAACAGATTTACAAGTTAATAAATTTTTAAAAACACTTATGCTACGACGAATAAGGCTATAAAAAAGTATTATTATTATTCATATATTTTTCATAACAGATCTTCAAAATTTCCAACCTCTAACCTGATACATTCCCAACACCTTCTAATAAAATAACGTTTGATTCGTTGGTTTGAATTCGCCCACGCAGTTCTTTATCAATCGGCTTCTTGTACACAATCTCCTTCAGATATCCCCAGTAAAAACATCTAAGGGATTCAGACCGAGAGACCGCGGAGGCCACAAAATAGGTCCTAGGCGTCAAAATCACCTTCATTGGTAATTTTCGTTTAAAAAGTTTCTCACTCGCAAAGCGTCATGCGCAACCCATCATTTTGCAACCACATTCTTCTGCGTGTTTCTAATGCAGTTTATTAAAAATTGAAATTATTTTATTAGAAACTTGTTTACAAATAATACAAAAAGTAAAATTCGGCTTCAAATAATTGAAATTAATAAAGTGGTTTTTCATTCTGAAGCTAGTGATATTGCATTGTATTAAAGCCCCGACTTCACAATGTAAAATTATTTTATTCTTTATTTTTGCTTAAAATCGGTTTTTACTTTTTATTGAATGTTATTTTGATACCATTTTTGTTGAACTAAGGAATATCACGATCTCAGTATCGTTTAAATAGTGGCATTAAAAACATCGTTCCTTATTTGGCCAATCTTTGGGGGTTGAATTTTTTCTCCAAACTTACACGGGATTTTCCTATAGTATAACATATTTAATAAAGAAATTGGTTGACTCTGCAGGCCATCCCTGGAACTGTAGGCTAATTTCAAATGCAAAGCGCTCCAAATTTCACCAAATTATATTGCGAAATCTCGAAGTTATGTTAAAAAAAAAAACTTTAATTCTTTCACCTCTCCACTAAACTAACATTAATAATAATGACCTCCAGACCGAATTTCGGCCACGGTGAGAAAAAAGCCTGCCGCAACGGAGGCTAGCCATCGGCTTAGGACAGGATTATAATGCCCAAGTGCACTCTATATTCCCTCACTCTCATAATCCGATAGGACGGTAAACCGACACGACCGGAGAGAGATCAGGTGCAGGACCAATTGCTTTACCTGCTTTCCGAGGCACGGGGGTGAGACACCGCCAAATTTCTGACTCCGGGCAGCTACTAAGAATTTCTTGACGAAAAGCTCAATAATTGATTTTGTTTGCCCGACCTGGGTTTCTAACCCAGGACCTCATGATCAGCAGTCGCACCACTACAACCACTAGACCAACGGGGCAGTCGGTTTATTTAAATTATACATAACAGCAATAACTATTACAATAACGATTCAAAAACAAATATCCTGTATATAAGATCCATGGACGGTGCATCCTGCAATAGCAGGTCACGAACTTAACAAATACTACAAAAATAATTATGTGTTTAATTTTAATTCACCCTCATATTTTTGTTATGTTTAATTAATTAATGTTTTGGTTTATTCCTTACCCCCCTAATCCCACAACTTTTACTTTAAGACATTTATAAAACTTTTTTCTTTTTTAGTTAAAATATGCTTTGCTTGAATACATTGCTGTATTAAATGTGAATTACATTGTTTTGTATATTTATAATGAAAATAATTTATTATCACTATCCTAAAAATGAAAATCGGAAATATTTTTATTTTTTTTATTATTATACAACCAGGTACTTAAAATAATTTATTTTCGACAAAATGTTAGATAATATCAATGATGATGTTGAACGGGAACAGCATGGGTAGCATGACCTTTACGATGTACAACAGCGTTGAATCTGAAACAAAAAAAACGTAAAACATATTCCATTATTTTATTCAGTATTATATGAAGACACGTGAAATCAGTCAATCACAATAAGCAGTGCAGCGGAAACTTCCCTGACCTAAAACCCTCTCAGATGTGAGAGCAAGCTTTGCCGGGCTGCAAGAATCATATAGGCTGCATTTTTACTTTCATACTGCAATCTGCAGAGGGCAAGTAATAACTAATATAGCACAGCGAATTAGTAGGCCGACTATTTAACTCTAAGAAAAGACAACCGATAAGAAAAAAATGGTCCTCAAATTGCAAGCCTCGTTCTAGCAAATGCAGTGTATGTAGGTGGCTCAGTACGGTGCTTTGTCCATCGAAACATTATATTTATTTAAATAATAGAAACTCAAACTCAAACTATGAAAATGTCATACTCTCTGCGGTATAGTACCAGTCGAGGCAAACATGGTGAAAAAGACTGCATGTCTGTGAAATAAAATATTTCAAAGAGAAAGAGTGAAGTCCACCAACATGCACTGGTACAGCACACTACATGAAATATTGCTCCATAATCCCCCAAAAATGAGAGGAGGCATGTGAACAGTCGTGAGACGTAACCTATAATTTGACATCTATATACGAGATTGTTCGAGATTTTTTTTATAGTACCAAGAAGACGACGTTTCTTTATTGGCTACAATAAGCCTTCGCACGAATAAAGAACTAGCCTGCTCGTCTCCAGCTGCGACGACCAGTGGTGATACTCTTTTTTTAGTAACTTTACCACGCCAGAACCCCTTGGACCAAAAGTCTCTACAGCAAATGATACTTTGTAGTCATCTCTCAGAGAGTCATATTTGCATCATTTACTCAGTTTGTCTTTCCTCTAAACGAGGAGATGAGGTGCTGCAAAAGCGTCCACGTACGTGGCATCCTACACTAAAGCTTCACCTTAGGTCACTAAAGTCATATCGTCCGCTCTCTTGCCATTACATATAAGTATTCTACAAGGCTATTAATAATGTTAGAAGAAATTATTTATTCAAAAATTTAAAAAAAAAAAACGCTTACCCATTATGACCATCAGCGGTATATTCAACAGTTCTTATAGTGCCATCAGACTCGTGCAAGCTGTAGGAACCGTGCACAGCATCACCCTCTCGGCTCTCGTGCTGGGACTTGATGTCACCCGTGTGCGAGTCGGCTACAGAGTACTCAAACGAATAGTGTGGGGGCGCCTGGAATTTATAGATTTATTTTAACATACGAGTATCATTTGTTTGAAAAACAAAATTTATGTAGCGGGACATAATATACGTTTCTGATAATTTATTCAACCGACTCCGAAATTGAAAATTGTGGGTTTTAATCTGCCATTTGATAATGTAGTGATTAATAGGAGTATCAACAATTTACGTTAATTTGTGGCATTTTTAGTATACCTCCAAAAATTCATTATCTTACATAGTAGTCCTGGTGATGGTCGTTGTGTTCTGCGTAATGTGCGGGCTGGTGGTGCAAGACTACAGCGGGCGCTCTGTGAGCAGTTTGGCCGTGGCTCTGATGCAGTACTATGTTCTGAGACGACTGCACGTGGCCATGTCCATGTCCATGGCCATTATTGTATTGTCCGACAGCTACGGAAAGAACAGCAGCAGCGAGAAAAATCTGTCAAATAAAAGTATAACACCGTGTTTTTATTGTGTCATTTAGCTATTAACAATAATATTAGGTTTCTCCTTCCGTATAGTGGCAGTGAAATACGAAAATCCAATGTTCATTCTCTTCTAAACTAAATAAGACTAAGTGCTTGTTAGACTTGAATATAACTTTTTTACCAAGCTCATGAAAGTTTTTAGTATTCAATGTGCTTTACTTTCTTAAACATAAAATTTTTTATGATATTTTGTTTTTACCTTCTGAAACATTTTTAACTCTTAAATATTACAATATTGATTTAATACTGATAATGCAATACGAATAATTTCACCTTTTATACACTCGTATGATGTAGGACATTATAAGTAGGTACTCGTAATTTTGTGAACATTTCAAGACAACCGAAACAAGTTTATTACATATTATGGTATCACAATTAATCTCATGTTAAATGTAACTTGCTTTTAATAAGGTAATGACATAGTTTGGTATTTTGTTCGATGGGGATCAAAAGCCAATGCATTACTACAATGATAATGAAGGTTATTGATTACCAATTGAGATATCCTTCTTTCCATCCTATGCCACCTTAATTTCGAGCGCACTGTCTTAGACTGGTTTGCATCCTATCTTTGCGGGCGTCAGCAGTCATTTCACGTAGTTCAAATGTCCTCAGCTTGGGATGAAGTTGAAAGCGGCATGCCGCAAGGCATTATAGTCTAGTCTATAGTCTCTCCTATCATCTTCTCAGTTTTAATAAACTAGATCACTCATAATCTTGATTGCTCATACCATCAGTACGCCGATGATCTGTAGACATATGTGCAATGTGGCGTATGCAAATGAAGATCTATATGTTGGAATTTACAATTTAAACCAAAATTTGAACATCATTAAAGATTGGTCCTCGCAATGGAGTTTGTATCAATTCAGTAAAATGCCAAACAATTTTAGTGCATAGTAAAAGGTTGCTGGCTAGGTTTAATCAAGTAGACCTCCTATTTATTATCATAATATTATTATTCCAGTTTGTAAGTCTGTTAAAAACCTTGGTCTGCATATTGGTAGCTCTCTTAACTGTTAAGCTCAGGTAATATGTAACATAATTAATGTACACCCTCAGACACCCCAATTAGTATTTTATGTTATAATCATAATATATACACTGAATTTTAGTTAAACATTTTTATGCACTGATTATTTATCAAATTAGTTATACTAATTCCGGAAGAATGTTGTGGTCACAGTACAAATCCACGAACGCAAAGACTTTAACGTGCTTGAAATAAAGTTCATTTTTCATTTTTTTTATTGAATGACAGAATTAGTAATAATACAAATAAAACTGCACTGAAGTCTTATTGCCCTAAGTTACGGTCCATTTCAGTTTGTTTTGACTGTACAGATTTGGTGTGACTGTAATTTATGTAGTTTTAATTGTTCTTGGGATAAAAAAATTCGATACGATTCGTACGATTCTGAACAAACTATTTTCTCAAAGTGCGTTAATTATGTTACGTGTTGTATATATAAATACACATAGATATTATAAATATGGATATATATATGTATTTACTTACAATATTATATCACAATCTATTTTGCTACACCTACCCTCACAACTCCGTGGGATGACTGGTAAAGAATGCCTTCAGGTATTAAGTCCGCCCTTTGCATCCTTTTTCCTAAAGGAATGTAATAAAGATTATTAAATATAATAAATAAATAAAATAGATATAATACTTTATAGTCTACTAAAAGGCCAACTTCCAAGACAGGGAACACTTGTCATATTACATTGCAGCTAAATAAAGTAAGAAAAAGAGGGCACATTTTATTAGGGCAGCTCATACTATATTGTATCATATTAAACTTCCCTAAAGACGTGTTGTTTGACGTATCAGGAAAATCAGTGACGTGTGTGTAATAATATGAGACGAGGGAAAGCATTGTAATCGAGTTTCATTTTCTACGGTTTGATGCCATACATTTTAACATAGAGTTAATTTTTAAATATAGGCGTTTAATCATCCATCTACTCATCCATTATCCTATGAAAATACATTGCTAGGTACAGCATAGGTCTCGCGTCTAAGGAAGCATTTTCTATAATTAATATGCTTGTGCGTGCGTGCGTGCGTTCATTCATTCATTCATTCATTACAGCCCTTCACAAGTCCACTGCTGAACATAGGCCTCCCCCAAGTAATGCCACAAAGCACGGTCCTGAGCCACCTGCATCCATCGACTTCCTGCGTATCTCACCAGGTCGTCACTCCATCTAGTGGGGGGTCGCCCTACACTACGCCTACCGGTACGAGGCTGCCACTTGAGAACCTTTCGTCCCCATCGGTTATCGGTTCTTCGAGCTATATGGCCGGCCCATTGCCACTTCAGCTTACTAATCCGGTGGGCTATGTCGGTCACTCTGGTTTTACTGCGGATATCCTTATTTCTGAGTCTATCACGCAGTGAAACTCCGAGCATAGCCCTCTCCACAGCTCGCTGAGCGACCTTGAGCGTCCTCATACGGCCAGCAGTGAAGGACCACGTCTCTGATCCGTAAGTCATCACTGGCAACACGCACTGGTTATATACTTTAGTTTTCAGAGATTGAAGTATACCTGACGAGAAGATGTGTCGTAATTTCCCGAACGCTGCCCAGCCGAGTTGAATCCATCGATTGACCTCTCGGTCGAAGTTGGACTTACCTAGTCGGACTATTTGTCCCAGGTAAACATACTCGTCAACAACTTCGAGCATAGTGCTCCCAACAAATACCGGCATAGGTGTGACATGGACATTAAACATGATCTTTGTTTTGTCCTTGTTCATCTTAAGACCTATCCGTTGGGAGGCACTAATGAGGTCATTGAGCATAGTGCTTAAGTCCTCCAGCGATTCTGCCATAAGGACTATATCGTCGGCAAATCGAAGGTGAGTGATGTACTCGCCATTGATGTTAATACCGTATCCTTTCCAGTCCAGTAGCTTGAAAACATCTTCCAACGCAGCGGTGAAGAGTTTCGGGGATATAACATCACCCTGTCTTACACCTCTCTGATAGGTTTCGAACTCTGGTTCTGTACTCGGATAGCCATCGTAGCCCTACTGTACAAACACTTCAGCACTTCGATATACCGACAGTCAACTTGGCACCGCTGAAGAGACTGTAGCACCGCCCAAATTTCGACGGAATCAAAGGCTTTCTCATAGTCCACATATGCCAGGCAAAGTGGCAGATTGTACTCTTCGGTCTTCTGTACAATCTGTCGCAGGGTACGTATGTGGTCTATGGTACTGAAGCCTTTTCGGAAACCGTCTTGTTCGGGAGGCTGGAAGTCATCGAGTCTGCGTGCAAGACGATTCGTAATGACTCTCGAAAACAGCACGTAGACGCGGCTCAGAAGGGAAATCGGTCTGTAGTTCTTCAAGAGAGCGTTGTCGTCTTTCTTAAAGAACGAGACCACCGCACTTCTGCTCCACGCCTCCGGAGTAGTGCCACCATGGAGGACGGAATTGAAGAGCTTCTGAAGGACTTCAAGTACCGGTGTTCCACCCGCTTTCAGAAGCTCCGCTGTAATTCTATCCTCGCCTGGGGCCCTGCCGTTTTTAAGGTGCTGGAGAGCCATTCTAATCTCGCTCAGACTGACGTCCAGGATATCATCGGAATAGTGTCGGGTAAGAATTGCTCTTGGATCGTTACTCACACTTGCGTGTGGCTCCAACGATGATGTGTACAGCTGCCCATAGAACCTCTCAATCTCACTTAAAATCTCAGGTGTCTCGGAAACGATGCTGCCACACTCAGTCTTCAGCTTTGACAGTTGGCTCTTTCTGGCAGACAGATCTCTGGAAAAGACTTTGGAGCCCTGGTTCCGCTCGATCGCTTCTTTAATACGAGCAGTATTAAAGTTGCGTAAGTCTCACCGCATGCATTTGGAGATCTGTCTGTTCAGTTGCCTGTATGCTGTCAAATCTGTTGACGATTGCAGCCTCATCTCCCGTCTAACAGCCATGAGATTAAGAGTGTGATCGGAGAGTTTTTGTGTTCTTCTTCGGCGGGTCTTGCAGAACTTAGCTCCGACCGCATGGACAGTTTCCACGAGCTTGTCATTCATATCGTCCACTGCATTGCAATCCTCTAGGCACTGAAAGCAGTTTTGTAACTCGAGCTGAAAGGTTTTGGGATTCTGGATTAGAGCACGATGGGGACGGAGCGTTGACTTCATCAGACGAGACCTCTCCAACTTAACGTTTAGGTTCAGTGTGCCTCTAACCATTCGGTGATCGCTGCCAGTTTTCACCCTTGCGATCACTGAGACATCACTGAACAGTTGGCGTCTGGTCGTCATAATGAAGTCAATCTCATTTTTTGTCGAACCGTCGGGGGTCGACCAGGTCCACTTCCTTTGGGACCACTTCTGTAAGAAAGAGTTCATCATAAAGAGTCCCTCTTTCTCCATAAAGTCGGCCAGCTGCTGGCCCCTTCGGTTCCGTTGCCCTACTCCAAATTTCCCTACCTTCAGCTCACCGCTTTCTCTTGTGCCTAGTTTTGCGTTGAAGTCTCCCATCAACACCGTGTAGTGGGTTTTGAGGGAGGAATGCATGGCTCTGGAAATATCCTCATCATTTCCTCCACCTCCTCCGATGTCGGTTCGTATGACCTTCAGCGAATACCGTTTGGTGATTCTGAGTATCAGGTACGCGACCCTCGTCGACACACTCCCAATCTTTACAACGTTGTTGACGAGAGACTTGTGGACGATAAATCCAACACCTCCTTGGGACAGATGGCCGCCCTCCCGGTGGTAGAACAAGTTGCCGGACTCGAGGATTGCCGTGTCCTCCCCCTCTCTTCGGACCTCGGATAATCCAATAATATGCCAGCGCAACTTGTCTACCTCTTCTTCCAGCTCCAGTATCTTCTCGTAAATCCTCAGGGTGCGTGCGTTATATGTTGCCAGGTCGTGTCGTCGTAGGTGGCAACCGAATCTCCACCGGAGATTCTTAGCACCCCCTGCCCCGCCGTTACCATGGTCGCCACCGTAGCCAGGAATAGCGGGGCCGCCGGGGACTGGGGGCCGTTTTTTTGCGTCGTTATTCATGGGGGGATATTTGCCATAGTTGCCACGCTTGGCGAGCGGGTTGGCAACCGCAGTTTTTTATTTTATCACAGTTGTTATCAGTAAGATGCTGCTGCCCATCTCCTGGCTGTCTCCCTCTGTCACCTCTTACGACACCCACGGGAAGATATGTGGTAGCGGATATTCTCAACCGCCACTACACGGCGGTTAAGAATATCCACTACCCCGCCGTACGTGCGTGCGAGATAGCAATTATCACGCATTACTCTAGAAGAAACTTCTATCTTATATGCTCCTATTTATATTTTTTTATACAAACATAAAGTCTTTTATTATTACAAGAGCCGTTGTAGCTCAGTAACAAGCATTCGCCTTTAAATATGACTTATTTTACGTGGAAAAATCTGTTGACAACAATGAAAATTTTAATTGCAATTTTAAGAGCTCATTTACCAAGTGCTGCTAATTAA